GTTGTGGTAGGGCGGGAGAGAGATAACATGGTAGGAGTGACAAAGCAACAGTTCCACAGTGAAGTCAATGGATTGACTTCACTTGTCTATACGACGAGTTGTAGCTTGGTGCGGAGAGTGGCGAGACTCATTGACGATGCCGACTACAATTCCGGCGAAGCGTCTGGATGTGTACCAAGTCCACGATCCAACGCTGGGAATTATGATGATTGCTACAGCAGAGGACTTCGGATAGGATACGTCCAACCACGTTCCCCTGACGACATGACCAAGTTGCGAAGACGAAGTAGACCATTTAAATAGCTTGTTCCTCTCAATAGCATAAGTTTATCGTAATTTTCGTATAGATACAGGATGAATAGTTTGCCTGAATATGTGATCATAAGACTGCACAAGGACAAGCCAATTCGCCCAACGCATTTGCTTTCCACATTGACGATGCTCCTTCCCCTTCCTCGATTCACAAACCACGGTGATCTTGGAGAAAGGATTAAAATTTTATCTTCATATCTCATATTAATTTTAATTTTTAAGTCCTCTCTGATCTTTTCTTCATCAATTCCTTCAACACCATACCAACAAGATGTTTTTTGCAAGCATTCAGACTTCTGACAAACGCATAAGTTAAGATGCCCAAAAGTTACGCTTGAAATTATTCTTTATAGCAAGAATTGCACCTTAGCCCTTGATCTATATACATTTTTATATTTATTTTCATAAGCCTTCATCAAGCTTGCGTGGCACTGGTTGTAACATTATCATCATCATTCCTTCTCTTGCCCTTCGTGATTACCTCCTCCATCAACCTTTGTCAGTCTCTCCTGTTCAAGTCATCTCTATTCTCCCTTCGCTGGTCAGCGATGGCGGACTCCAGCTAAGCCTCAGTTGGCGGCCCTCTGTCTGGCTTGGCCAGCACTCGATCTGCTTCATCTTCTTCATCTCCCAGTTGTCCGGCCTTTGTTTGGCGATCTACACGAAATTTGTTGACGGTTTTGCGGTAAGCTAGCTGCATGCTCATTCTTATTCTGCTGATATACGAGACCTCGTGCGTCTTTTAATCCTGCTAAGGTAATCAGGATTTTTCAGTCGACTTTTTCTTATCTACCTTCACAAAAGCTAAACGGACTTAAAAATCAGAAGATTTTATTCTTCCAGTCGTATTTATAATATTGTGGGTGAGAAGACCAAGATGGGTTGGCCTTCTATTTGGCCGCAGTCTCCTTTAGCTTTATAATGTTGGTTCGAACTTGTCTTTGTATCTTGGTCGGAGCGTCAGAGAGGCCATGTGGAATGTACCTAGTTCTGTGTCCTCTACCATATTATTCGTGATCTCCAGCATCGGATCATTGACTTGGTGCATTTGGAAAGTACTAAGGGCTGCGAGATGTGCCGTGCCATCAACAAAAGCTCGAAGAGCATACGAAGAGTAACTTGGTTTCGATGAATCTCTTGACATAACATTTTTGTGGAGACTTTTATTTCGTATCAAAGTGCTCCAGTCATGCCTTCCCTTGGGCGGATAAACGTTGCTGACCCTAGACCGAGAGGTTAGGATAGGTGGTTTCGTAGCTTGACTCACACACTTACAAGCGTGCATCTCATTATTTCAGTCAGAATTGCATACGGACTTACGCAGTTTTGTTCAGGACTTTTTCTTGGGTCCTTAAGCCTGACAGTAACCTTTTTGATCACTCTGATTTAGCACCGT